AAAACATGCTATTTACATATTTGACAAGAATGCAGAGGCTCCTTTTGCCCCTGAAAAAAATCAAATTTCAAACACAACTTGACTGGTCATTTCTCCAAAAGACAGCCATGAAGCTCCATCCAAACCTGAAGCAGGCAGTTGGTGCATGTGTACAGTAACCTGAGGGGAGTGAGGTGACTGCTTCTGAGGAGAACATGAGCAGTGAAGATTCACCTTAGAGCTAGAACAGAGACGTGCACATGATTATACAGGGGCAGGGGCTCAAGTTTTTTCCAGTTGTTTATACAATATGGAAATTAATGTGAAATTAAAAAACAAAGTATTAATAGAAAGGTAATGACTGTCCTGTGTAGGTGACAGTGATATCCAATAGGCTAGGCACTCACGAGGCTGGCTGTGGCAAGTGTAAGTGAAAGCAACACGCACTGGCAGGAAGAACAGCAAACGTTGATGAAGGAAAAGGGTCTTTGCAGTGATGGGCGTTACCAGAGAGGGCGATGGCCAGAGGACACAAATGGGACGGGGAGGCAGCGCGTTGGGGGGGGGACGCGACACAGCTCGGGCCCGCCAGTGCCCCAACGGGGTCCTAGTTATTATTTTTCCTCCCCTTTAAACTGGAAAATGGCCCACTTCCCACTGGCGAAAACTCATGAAATTTGGCAGGACGACCGGGCCTGGTGAAAAATTTGATATTCCGAAGTCGCCCAAACAAGAAAATGCAAAATGGCTCCATAGCGCCCCCTAAGGTGAAAATTCACACTATTCACTGTCACGCCTGTACGCTTTGTCAAAATGACACAAAAATTGACACACACATGTATCTCAATAAGATCTACAAAAAAGTCAGTGCGGGCGTATCTGTCAAATGTACGGTTAAAGGGTTATTGCGCATTTTTTGTCGATCCGCACACATTGGAATTTCGCTAACTCCTCCGAAGGCTTTCGTTCCACCGGCACCACATTTGCTCAGGCCAATCTACACCCCATGGCCATTAAAAGTTATTCAAATCATGACGCTGCACCCCACGGTTTAGGTTCTAGGGGGCGCCAAAGATAACCCTAAAATCCACATATTTCAAAGTCTTATAACTTTTTATTTTTGCCCTCACTGGCCTCCAAGTTTTCTAGGATGATGCAATGTCCAGCCATCAACACATTTGTGAAGGAATTTTTACTCCCCAAAAGAGCGCCCCCCATGGCAGGAGAAAAAAGTCCATTTTTTCTTGTCCCATAAGGTGAAAATTCACACTATTGACTGTCACGCCTGTACGCTTTGTCAAAATTACACAAAAATTGACACACACATGTATCTCAATAAGATCTACAAAAAAGTCAGTGCTGGCGTATCTGTCAAATGTACGGTTAAAGGGTTATTGCGCATTTTTTGCCGATCCGCACACATTGGAATTTCGCTAACTCCTCCGAAGGCTTTCGTTCCACCGGCACCACATTTGCTCAGGCCAATCTACACCCCATGGCCATTAAAAGTTATTCAAATCATGACGCTGCACCCCACGGTTTAGGTTCTAGGGGGCGCCAAAGATAACCCTAAAATCCACATATTTAAAAGTCTTATAACTTTTTATTTTTGTCCTCTCTGGCCTCCAAGTTTTCTAGGATGATGCAATGTCCAGCCATCAACACATTTGTGAAGGAATTTTTACTCCCCAAAAGAGCGCCCCCCCATGGCAGGAGAAAAAAAGTCCATTTTTTCTTGTCCCATAAGGTGAAAATACACATTGTTGACTGTCTTACCTGTATGCTTTGTCATATTGACACAAAATTTGACACACACATGTATCTCAATAAGATCTACGAAAAAGTCAATGCGCGCGTATCTGTAAAATGTACGGTTAAAGGGCTATTTTGCATTTTTTGCCGATTAGCACACATTGGAATGTGGCTAACTCCTCCTAAGGCTTTCGTCCCACTGACACCAAATTTGCTCAGGCCAATCTACACCCCATGGCCATTCAAAGTTGTAAAAATCATGACGCTGCACCCCACGGTTTACGTTCTAGGGGGCGCCAAAGATGACCCAAATATCCACATTCTTAAAAGAATCCACATCCCCCCCCCATCCCCCATCCCCTATGGCAGGAGAAACAGTCAAGTTTTTCCTGCCCATCACTCAATGGCTCAATCGCATCACTCTCCCGGCAACACCGTAACGAGGAGCAACTTGCCGTTTGGATATATCCTAGCTGTGTTTGTGCCCTCACTCATGGTCCAGACTTTTTTCAAATAGGACATGTAGTTTGTCTGCAGCGAGTGTTTTGGTAGAAACTGCGCCTCCCATTCATTATAATGGGAAATGACCACAGACAAGTGCGCACACCATCTTTGGACCTTGAGTGTGACGCGATCGGGAGGGGGAGGCGGTCGCACTGGGGGCGGCGTAACGCGGCTCGGGCCCGCCAGTGCCCCAACGGGGCCCTAGTTAGGGCCCGAGCCAGCTGCAGAGCAGCCGGGCGTAGGCCCTATTATTCCCCAAGTGGTTTTTCTTTGTTTCTTTCTTTCTTTCTTTCTTTCTTTCTTTCTTTCTTCTTTTTCCTCCCCTTTGAACTGGAAAATGGCCCACTTCCCACTGGCGAAAACTCAGGAAATTTGGCAGGACGACCGGGCCTGGTGAAAAATTTGATATTCCGAAGTCGCCCAAACAAGAAAATGCAAAATGGCTCCATAGCGCCCCCTAAGGTGAAAATTCACACTATTGACTGTCACGCCTGTACGCTTTGTCAAAATGACACAAAAATTGACACACACATGTATCTCAATAAGATCTACAAAAAAGTCAGTGCGGGCGTATCTGTCAAATGTACGGTTAAAGGGTTATTTCGCATTTTTTGCCGATCCGCACACATTGGAATTTCGCTAACTCCTCCGAAGGCTTTCGTTCCACCGGCATTACATTTGCTCAGGCCAATCTACACCCCATGGCCATTAAAAGTTATTCAAATCATGACGCTGCACCCCACGGTTTACGTTCTAGGGGGCGCCAAAGATAACCCTAAAATCCACATTTTTAAAAGTCTTATAACTTTTTATTTTTGCCCTCACTGGCCTCCAAGTTTTCTAGGATGATGCAATGTCCAGCCATCAACACATTTGTGAAGGAATTTTTACTCCCCAAAAGAGCGCCCCCCCATGGCAGGAGAAAAAAGTCCATTTTTTTCTTGTCCCCTAAGGTGAAAATACACATTGTTGAGTGTCACGCCTGTACGCTTTGTCAAAATGACACAAAAATTGACACACACATGTATCTCAATAAGATCTACAAAAAAGTCCATGCGCGCGTATCTGTCTAATGTACGGTTAAAGGGTTATTCCGCATTTTTTGCCGATTCGCACACATTGGAATTTCGCTAACTCCTCCGAAGGCTTTCGTTCCACCGGCACCACATTTGCTCAGGCCAAATTACACCCCATGGCCATTAAAAGTTATTCAAATCATGACGCTGCACCCCACGGTTTACGTTCTAGGGGGCGCCAAAGATAACCCAAAAATCCACATTTTTAAAAGTCTTATAACTTTTTATTTTTGTCCTCACTGGCCTCCAAGTTTTCTAGGATGATGCAATGTCCAGCCATCAACACATTTGTGAAGGAATTTTTACTCCCCAAAAGAGCGCCCCCCCATGGCAGGAGAAAAAAGTCCATTTTTTCTTGTCCCCTAAGGTGAAAATACACATTGTTGACTGTCACGCCTGTACGCTTTGGCAAAATGACACAAAAATTGACAATCATGTGTATCTCAATTAGATCTACGAAAAAGTCAAAGAGCGCGTATCTGTATAATGTACGGTAAAAGGGCTATTTTGCATTTTTTGCCGATTCGCACACATTGGAATTTCGCTAACTCCTCCTAAGGCTTTCGTCCCACTGACACCAAATTTGCTCAGGCCAATCTACACTCCATGGCCATTCAAAGTTGTAAAAATCATGACGCTGCACCCCACGGTTTACGTTTTAGGGGGCGCCAAAGATGACCCAAATATACATTACAGTAGACAAAGTAGTTTTGCCCACTGAGTGGCGCCAAAGGGACTTGTCTGTGGAGTCTGTGAGTCACTATTGGCCGTTTTTGACTACTTTAGATTTTACCTTTATATTTCCTCTTACAAAATTTTTACCTTGCCTTGCCTGGTACCATTTTTTTCAGCACAACCTCACCTGTGTCAATTTACAGTTATTTTATCATTTTGACATACTATATTTACACATTGGACCCAAATTCACACACAAAACATAAAATCCGAGTGGAAAAAAGTAACGTTTTTACTGTGAAAACCACAAATATGTGTGATGAACTGTTTTTAAAACTTAAACTTCAAATAAAAATTGTAAACTTCAAAACATATGCAAATTTTTAACAAAGAACATAGTAATTTACCTCTATTGACATCAAAATGCAGGCAATGGCCCAGGTGTTCTTTGTAAAATTATTTACAAAACACTGTATAGTCTCACAAATGTCACTTTTTATTTATGCCACTACAAAAAAACATGATGTAAATGATGCATGATGTAAAACATGATGTAAAAAACTTGTGTAGATCCTCCTCTATGTTAGTCCATGTGTAATTTTTCCATAATTCTTTGTTTTTTGCAGCATTTTTGTTAGTGTAACTGCAGATTGTGCTGACAGTGTCTATGGCAAAAAAAAAAAAAAAAAACTGAAAATGCCTCAACATGAACCCCTGGTGGTCTCTGACGGTGAAACCTGCTAACTGCTGCAGCTCTGTCAGCTTCAGTCTCCCATGCAGAGCTCGGAGCGCATGTGTGGCTCTGCACCCTTAGCAGCGTTGCTAACTCCTCAGTAAGGAAAGCCTGCTTCATGTCAGAGTCTCTAAACTCCAGAAGAAGTCGATAAAAGTCACTTTCTTTCTAAAAAAAAGTCGTTAGGGGGTCTGAAAAGTCATTGAATCTAACAACAAAGTCGCTAGGTTTGCAACTACGTGTCCCAGACTGCATCCCTGCTGAGAGTCCCTCCCTCCCTTCTCATATTGCAGGAAGAACGTAAGTTCCCGCCCCTTGTCAATCAGTCACCATATAATTTTGGATTGGTTGTTGTGGTGAAGTTTTCCACCAATAGGAGAGATGTTGTGGTGTGTTTTTTTTTTCCTTTGGCAAGCCTTTTCCGCCTGTAAGACCTGTCGCTAATGTCTGCATGCTATGTTTTCCTGTCTCATACAGCGCGATCGAGCGCCGAACGTGATCAAAATAAGCAGAAAACAAGTATCGTGGACATAATTTATCATAACTCTGGTTTTATTTGGCCTATCAACACAATTTAAAAACTGGTATATAGGTTGAGGTCCTCACTTTTGAGATAAATTGAAACGGAGAGTCAACGAGGCTCCGTCTTGCAGCTACATCCGGTTAAATATGTCATGTGACTTGAACGCACACACACACACACACACACACACACACACACACACACACACACACACACACACACACACACGCACACACACACACTCAGAGTCTGGTTTTTAGCACCTGCAAAAACATGCTATTTACATATTTGACAAGAATGCAGAGGCTCCTTTTGCCCCTGAAAAAAATCATATTTCAAACACAACTTGACTAGTCATTTCTCCAAAAGACAACCATGAAGCTCCATCCAAACCTGAAGCAGGCAGTTGGTGCATGTGTACAGTAACCTGAGGGGAGTGAGGTGACTGCTTCTGAGGAGAACATGAGCAGTGAAGATTCACCTTAGAGCTAGAACAGAGACGTGCACATGATTATACAGGGGCAGGGGCTCAAGTTTTTTCCAGTTGTTTATACAATATGGAAATTAATGTGAAATTAAAAAACAAAGTATTAATAGAAAGGTAATGACTGTCCTGTGTAGGTGACAGTGATATCCAATAGGCTAGGCACTCACGAGGCTGGCTGTGGCAAGTGTAAGTGAAAGCAACATGCACTGGCAGGAAGAACAGCAAACGCCGATGAAGGAAAAGGGTCTTTGCAGTGATGGGCGTTACCAGAGAGGGCGATGGCCAGAGGACACAAATGGGACGGGGAGGCAGCGCGTTGGGGGGGGGACGCGACACAGCTCGGGCCCGCCAGTGCCCCAACGGGGTCCTAGTTCTTTCTTTCTTTCTTCTTTTTCCTCCCCTTTGAACTGGAAAATGGCCCACTTCCCACTGGCGAAAACTCATGAAATTTGGCAGGACGACCGGGCCTGGTGAAAAATTCGATATTCTGAAGTCGCCCAAACAATAAAATGCAAAATGGCTCCATAGCGCCCCCTAAGGTGGAAATTCACACTATTGACTGTCACGCCTGTACGCTTTGTCATATTGACACAAAAATTGACACACATATGTATCTCAATAAGATCTACAAAAAAGTCAGTGCGGCCGTATCTGTCAAAATTACGGTTAAAGGGTTATTTCGCATTTTTTGCCGATCCGCACACATTGGAATTTCGCTAACTCCTCCGAAGGCTTTCGTTCCACCGGCACCACATTTGCTCAGGCCAATCTACACCCCGTGGCCATTAAAAGTTATCAAAATCATGACGCTGCACCCCAAGGTTTAGGTTCTAGGGGGCGCCAAAGATAACACTAAAATCCACATATTTAAAAGTCTTATAACTTTTTATTTTTGTCCTCACTGGCCTCCAAGTTTTCTAGGATGATGCAATGTCCAGCCATCAACACATTTGTGAAGGAATTTTTACTCCCCAAAAGAGCGCCCCCCCATGGCAGGAGAAAAAAGTCAATTTTTTCTTGTCCCCTAAGGTGAAAATACACATTGTTGAGTGTCACGCCTATACGCTTTGTCAAAATGACACAAAAATTGACACACACATGTAACTCAATAAGATCTACGAAAAAGTCAATGCGCGCGTATCTGTCAAATGTACGGTTAAAGGGTTATTCCGCATTTTTTGCCGATCCGCACACATTGGAATTTCGCTAACTCCTCCTAAGGCTTTCTTTCCACCGGCACCACATTTGCTCAGGCCAATCTACACCCCATGGCCATTAAAAGTTATCAAAATCATGACGCTGCACCCCACGGTTTAGGTTCTAGGGGGCGCCAAATATAACCCTAAAATCCACATATTTAAAAGTCTTATAACTTTTTATTTTTGTCCTCACTGGCCTCCAAGTTTTCTAGGATGATGCAATGTCCAGCCATCAACACATTTGTGAAGGAATTTTTACTACCCAAAAGAGCGCCCCCCCCATGGCAGGAGAAAAAAGTCCATTTTTTCTTGTCCCTTAAGGTGAAAATACATATTGTTGAGATTCACGCCTATACGCTTTGTCATATTGACACAAAATTTGACAATCACGTGCCTTGCCTGGTATCATTTTTTTCAGCACAACCTCACCTGTGCGAATTTACAGTTATTTTATCATGTTGACATACTGAATTTACACAATGGACCCAAATTCACACACAAAACATAAAATCTGAGTGGAAAAAAGTAACATTTTTACTGTGAAAACCACAAATATGTGTGATGAACTGTTTTTAAAACTTAAACTTCGAATAAAAATTGTAAACTTCAAAACATATGCAAATTTTTAACAAAGAACATAGTGATTTACCTCTATTTACATCAAAATGCAGGCAATGGCCCAGGCGTTCTTTGTAAAATTATTTACAAAACACTGTATAGTCTCACAAATGTCACTTTTTATTTATGCCACTACAAAAAAACATGATGTAAATGATGCATGATGTAAAACATGATGTAAAATACTTGTGTAGATCCTCCTCTATGTCAGTCCATGTGTAATTTTTCCACAATTCTTTGTTTTTTGCAGCATTTTTGTTAGTGTAACTGCAGATTGTGCTGACAGTGTCTATGGCACAAAAAAAAAATTAAAATGCCTCAACATGAACCCCTGGTGGTCTCTGAGGGTGAAACCTGCTAACTGCTGCAGCTCTGTCAGCTTCAGTCTCCCATGCAGAGCTCTGAGCGCATGTGTGGCTCTGCACCCTTAGCAGCGTTGCTAACTCCTCAGTAAGGAAAGCCTGCTTCATGTCAGAGTCTCTAAACTCCAGAAGAAGTAGATAAAAGTCCCTTTCTTTCTAAAAAAAAGTCGTTAGGGGGTCTGAAAAGTCATTGAATCTAACAACAAAGTCGCTAGGTTTGCAACTACGTGTCCCAGACTGCATCCCTGCTGAGAGTCCCTCCCTCCCTTCTCATGTTGCAGGAAGAACGTAAGCTCCCGCCCCTTGTCAATCAGTCACCATATAATTTTGGATTGGTTGTTGTGGTGAAGTTTTCCACCAATAGGAGAGATGTTGTGGTGTGTTTTTTTTTTTCTTTTGGCAAGCCTTTTCCGCCTGTAAGACCTGTCGCTAATGTCTGCATGCTATGTTTTCCTGTCTCACACAGCGCGATCGAGCGCCGAACGTGATCAAAATAAGCAGAAAAAAAGTATCGCGGACATAATTTATCATAACTCTGGTTTTATTTGGCCTATCAACACAATTTAATCACTGGTATATAGGTTGAGGTCCTCACTTTTGAGATAAGTTGAAACGGAGAGTCAACGAGGCTCCGTCTTGCAGCTACATCCGGTTAAATATGTCATGTGACTTGAACGCACACACAGACACACACACACGCACACACACACACACACACACACACACACACACACTCAGAGTCTGGTTTTTAGCACCTGCAAAAACATGCTATTTACATATTTGACAAGAATGCAGAGGCTCCTTTTGCCCCTGAAAAAAATCAAATTTCAAACACAATTTGACTGGTCATTTCTCCAAAAGACAACCATGAAGCTCCATCCAAACCTGAAGCAGGCAGTTGGTGCATGTGTACAGTAACCTGAGGGGAGTGAGGTGAGTGCTTCTGAGGAGAACATGAGCAGTGAAGATTCACCTTGGAGCTAGAACAGAGACATGCACATGATTATACAGGGGCAGGGGCTCAAGTTTTTTCCAGTCGTTTATACAATATGGAAATTAATGTGAAATTAAAACACAAAGTATTAATAGAAAGGTAATGACTGTCCTGTGTAGGTGACAGTGATATCCAATAGGCTAGGCACTCACGAGGCTGGCTGTGGCAAGTGTAAGTGAAAGCAACACGCACTGGCAGGAAGAACAGCAAACGCCGATGAAGGAAAAGGGTCTTTGCAGTGATGGGCGTTACCAGAGAGGGCGATGGCCAGAGGACACAAATGGGACGGGGAGGCAGCACGTTGGGGGGGGGGGACGCGACACGGCTCGGGCCCGCCAGTGCCCCAACGGGGTCCTAGTTTCTTTTTCCTCCCCTTTGAACTGGAAAATGGCCCACTTCCCACTGGCGAAAACTCATGAAATTTGGCAGGACGACCGGGCCTGGTGAAAAATTTGATATTCTGAAGTCACCCAAACAATACAATGCAAAATGGCTCCATAGCGCCCCCTAAGGTGAAAAATTCACCTGACGCCTGTACGCTTTGTCAAAATGACACAAAAATTGACACACACATGTATCTCAATAAGATCTACAAAAAAGTCAGTGCGGGCGTATCTGTCAAATGTACGGTTAAAGGGTTATTGCGCATTTTTTGCCGATCCGCACACATTGGAATTTCGCTAACTCCTCCGAAGGCTTTCGTTCCACCGGCACCACATTTGCTCAGGCCAATCTACACCCCATGGCCATTAAAAGTTATTCAAATCCTGACGCTGCACCCCACGGTTTAGGTTCTAGGGGGCGCCAAAGATAACCCTAAAATCCACATATTTCAAAGTCTTATAACTTTTTATTTTTGCCCTCACTGGCCTCCAAGTTTTCTAGGATGATGCAATGTCCAGCCAACAACACATTTGTGAAGGAATTTTTACTCCCCAAAAGAGCGCCCCCCCATGGCAGGAGAAAAAAGTCCATTTTTTCTTGTCCCATAAGGTGAAAATTCACACTATTGACTGTCACGCCTGTACGCTTTGTCAAAATTACACAAAAATTGACACACACATGTATCTCAATAAGATCTACAAAAAAGTCAGTGCTGGCGTATCTGTCAAATGTACGGTTAAAGGGTTATTGCGCATTTTTTGCCGATCCGCACACATTGGAATTTCGCTAACTCCTCCGAAGGCTTTCGTTCCACCGGCACCACATTTGCTCAGGCCAATCTACACCCCATGGCCATTAAAAGTTATTCAAATCATGACGCTGCACCCCACGGTTTACGTTCTAGGGGGCGCCAAAGATAACCCTAAAATCCACATATTTAAAAGTCTTATAACTTTTTATTTTTGTCCTCTCTGGCCTCCAAGTTTTCTAGGATGATGCAATGTCCAGCCATCAACACATTTGTGAAGGAATTTTTACTCCCCAAAAGAGCGCCCCCCCATGGCAGGAGAAAAAAGTCCATTTTTTCTTGTCCCCTAAGGTGAAAATACACATTGTTGAGTGTCACGCCTATACGCTTTGTCAAAATGACACCAAAATTGACACACACATGTAACTCAATAAGATCTACGAAAAAGTCAATGCGTGCGTATCTGTCAAATGTACGGTTAAAGGGTTATTCCGCATTTTTTGCCGATCCGCACACATTGGAATGTGGCTAACTCCTCCTAAGGCTTTCGTTCCACCGGCACCACATTTGCTCAGGCCAATCTACACCCCATGGCCATTAAAAGTTATTCAAATCATGACGCTGCACCCCACGGTTTAGGTTCTAGGGGGCGCCAAAGATAACCCTAAAATCCACATATTTAAAAGTCTTATAACTTTTTATTTTTGCCCTCACTGGCCTCCAAGTTTTCTAGGATGATGCAATGTCCAGCCATCAACACATTTGTGAAGGAATTTTTACTCCCCAAAAGAGCGCCCCCCCATGGCAGGAGAAAAAAGTCCATTTTTTCTTGTCCCCTAAGGTGAAAATACATATTGTTGAGTGTCACGCCTGTACGCTTTGTCATATTGACACAAAATTTGACACACACATTTATCTCAATAAGATCTACGAAAAAGTCAACGCGCGCGTATCTGTCAAATGTACGGTTAAAGGGTTATTCCGCATTTTTTGCTGATCCACACACATTGGAATTTCGCTAACTCCTCCTAAGGCTGGCGTTCCACCGGCACCACATTTGCTCAGGTCAATCTACACCCCATGGCCATTAAAAGTTATTCAAATCATGACGCTGCACCCCACGGTTTAGGTTCTAGGGGGCGCCAAAGATAACCCTAAAATCCACATATTTCAAAGTCTTATAACTTTTTATTTTTGTCCTCACTGGCCTCCAAGTTTTCTAGGATGATGCAATGTCCAGCCATCAACACATTTGTGAAGGAATTTTTACTCCCCAAAAGAGCGCCCCCCCATGGCAGGAGAAAAAAGTCAATTTTTTCTTGTCCCGTAAGGTGAAAATTCACATTGTTGAGTGTGACACCTGTACGCTTTGTCATATTGACACAAAATTTGACAATCACGTGTATCTCAATAAGATCTACGAAAAAGTCAATGGGTGCGTATCTGTCAAATGTACAGTTAGAGGGCTATTTTGCATTTTTTGCCGATTCGCACACATTGGAATGTGGCTAACTCCTCCTAAGGCTTTCGTCCCACTGAAACCAAATTTGCTCAGGCCAATCTACACCCCATGGCCATTCAAAGTTGTAAAAATCATGACGCTGCACCCCACGGTTTACGTTCTAGGGGGCGCCAAAGATGACCAAAAAATCCACATTCTTAAAAGAATCCACATTCTCCCCCCCCATGGCAGGAGAAAAAGTCAAGTTTTTCCTGCCCATCGCTCAATGGCTCAATCGCATCGCTCTCCAGGCAACACCGTAACGAGGAGCAACCTGCCATTTGGATATATCCCAGCTGTGTTTGTGCCCTCACTCATGGTCCAGACTTTTTTCAAATAGGACATGAAGTTTGTCTGCAGCGAGTGTTTTGGTAGAAACTGCGCCTCCCATTCATTATAATGGGAAATGACCACAGACAAGTGCGCACACCATCTTTGGACCTTGAGTGTGACGCGATCGGGAGGGGGAGGCGGTCACACTGGGGGCGGCACGACGCGGCTCGGGCCCGACAGTGCCCCACCGGGGCCCTAGTTTCTTCTTTTTCCTCCCCTTTGAACTGGAAAATGGCCCACTTCCCACTGGCGAAAACTCATGAAATTTGGCAGGATGACCGGGCCTGGTGAAAAATTTGATATTCCGAAGTCGCCCAAACAAGAAAATGCAAAATGGCTCCATAGCGCCCCCTAAGGTGGAAATTCACACTATTGACTGTCACGCCTCTACGCTTTGTCAAAATGACACAAAAATTGACACACACATGTAACTCAATAAGATCTACGAAAAAGTCAATGCGCGCGTATCTGTCAAATGTACGGTTAAAGGGTTATTCCGCATTTTTTGCCGATCCGCACACATTGGAATGTGGCTAACTCCTCCGAAGGCTTTCGTTCCACCGGCACCACATTTGCTCAGGCCAATCTACACCCCATGGCCATTAAAAGTTATTCAAATCATGACGCTGCACCCCACGGTTTAGGTTCTAGGGGGCGCCAAAGATAACCCTAAAATCCACATATTTCAAAGTCTTATAACTTTTTATTTTTGTCCTCACTGGCCTCCAAGTTTTCTAGGATGATGCAATGTCCAGCCATCAACACATTTGTGAAGGAATTTTTACTCCCCAAAAGAGCGCCCCCCCATGGCAGGAGAAAAAAGTCCATTTTTTCTTGTCCCCTAAGGTGAAAATACATATTGTTGAGATTCACGCCTATACGCTTTGTCATATTGACACAAAATTTGACAATCACGTGCCTTGCCTGGTATCATTTTTTTCAGCACAACCTCACCTGTGCGAATTTACAGTTATTTTATCATGTTGACATACTGAATTTACACAATGGACCCAAATTCACACATAAAACATAAAATCCGAGTGGAAAAAAGTAACATTTTTACTGTGAAAACCACAAATATGTGTGATGAACTGTTTTTAAAACTTAAACTTCAAATAAAAATTGTAAACTTCAAAACATATGCAAATTTTTAACAAAGAACATAGTGATTTACCTCTATTTACATCAAAATGCAGGCAATGGCCCAGGCGTTCTTTGTAAAATTATTTACAAAACACTGTATAGTCTCACAAATGTCACTTTTTATTTATGCCACTACAAAAAAACATGATGTAAATGATGCATGATGTAAAACATGATGTAAAAAACTTGTGTAGATCCTCCTCTATGTCAGTCCATGTGTAATTTTTCCATAATTCTTTGTTTTTTGCGGCATTTTTGTTAGTGTAACTGCAGATTGTGCTGACAGTGTCTATGGCACAAAAAAAAAAAAATTTAAAATGCCTCAACATGAACCCCTGGTGGTCTCTGAGGGTGAAACCTGCTAACTGCTGCAGCTCTGTC